CGCGACCTCCGGGCGTGCGCGCGCACGCCGGGCCGCGGCACCGGCGCGCCGGGGTCACGGCAGGTCACGCTGGGCGTGCCGGAGTCACGGAGCGGCGGTCACGGGACGAGTGAGCACGCCCGCCGGCGGGGGCGGTGACACTCTCACTAAGAAACGCTGAGCCCACGCCGGCGACGTCCGCCCGCCTCTCCGCCAAACCGCAGCGGTCCACACCGCTCGCCGCTGACACGGTTTCCGCGTTTATGAGCTGTACGCTCTCCATCTCACCGGAGATCTGCCCCGACCAGCACGGGCCGGCACAAATCGAGCGGGCGCACGCAACACTGCTGCTTGTCAGCTGGGCTCAGCACGGGGCACTGTGCCTTCCCGGGCCGATGGTATCGCAGGATCCGCCAGCCGGGCGGTGACGGCCGGCGGCTGTCACAACGATGAATCGCTGGCTGGGCTTTTCGAGGACGTCAGGGTGGAACATTCTCGATCAGAGCCGAAGAAGCAAAGGTAGCATGGAGCGTCCGTGTGCTTCGAGATCTTTCTCAGGCTCCACCGGCGAAATAAGAGACGTGGAGGCCGTAAGGTGGATGCGTCGTTCACAGATGTGTGCATGAATGGTCAGAAGCTCTGCTTACCTAATACAGTACCGAAGCTTACGCTCAGAAAACAATCCGTCATCGTCAAGTGACCACCGCTGGATGGCACATGGGTTTTGAGCCGTCAGATTAGCAAAGCGGACAACACACTCGTCAAATCCCGTGGTTTAGCATTTGACACGCTCCGACCTTCCCGACATCACGCAACTCCCCTCGCCTTTGTTCGGCGGGTGTTACGGCTGCACCTCTTCTGGGAATATTCCGCCACGGGATATCTGGGGTCAATCAGGGCTACGCAGCGTCGCGTGGACTGAGATGGCCACCTCGTGCCACAGCGATCAAATAAGACACCGAATGTATCGACAGTCGTGAACATCCAAAAGGCAAGTAAGCCAGAGCTGGAGGGAGCGTGTTACCTTTGATCGAGCTACATCCCACACTGCGCGACAGCCGCGATAGTTCATCAACATGCCATCGGGATTTTTTTTTCTTCAAAATTAAGCCCTTGGTCGCCGACCTTTGTTCAGACTAGCATTGCCTCGCCTGCATTGTTCGGAGACGGTTCGTGGACCACCTCGCTCCATAAGCATGTGATTCATACCGGTACACTACCTCCACATCACAAGCCGCAAACTTTGTGGACCACCTCGCTCCATAAGCATGTGATTCATACCGGTACACGACTACCTCCACATCACAAGCCGCAAACTTCGTGGACCCCCTCGCTCCATAAGCATGTGATTCATACCGGTACACGACTACCTCCACATCACAAGCCGCAAACTTCGTGGACCCCCTCGCTCCATAAGCATGTGATTCATACCGGTACACGACTACCTCCACATCACAAGCCGCAAACTTTGTGAAAAGCCAGGGCACAATTATAGAGTGCTGGCCGTTGACTACACTCGCTGGCCCCGCGTTGCCGAGCAGGATGAAACTACAAACAACTACACACACGCTACACAGTGCGGTCAGCTGGAGCGATGGCCACACCATCGACACAAAGGACCGCCACACATTCCATCTGTCTCGGATAGCTGTGTGTTCCAGCAGGGGCGGTTCAAACCGGCAAGTTTCGTGCAGTCCTAGAAAATGCTGAACCTGTCATCTCCTGTGTGTGAACTCCTGGAAACAAACCTGTCCTTTCAACCGACATACCTTTTTCTCGCAAGTTCGGCAAGCTTGAAATGATGCAAGAGAAAATCGTGAAGCAACTTTTGAACAACGACAGTGTGGAGCAAGATTGCTTGTAATTCCGCATGGCAATTGTACTATAGCTTCAGTGCAAGTGCGGTGACCACACAGTGCAAGCGTGCACGTCATTGAGTCATTGACCGTTGACCGGCAAACATGGCGAACTATGCTGACAGATCATTAACTCATGAGCAGAAACTACAATAAAAGTGCACCGCGAATTTCGTTACCGATTGTGTGTAAATGTCTAACATTTACGAGCATAGCATTTTATACAACGCACAACAAGCATCCTCCATCCAAAACGTAATCATAGCAATGATACACCACCGGCTCCATTGCAGGTAGTTCACACGGCACTGAATACATTTTCCTACTTAAAATTAAAATCACACGCTGGTATCGGCAATTAAAAGGAAACACTCAAAAACTCAAGGACAGGAAACAATGATTCAGGACTATTGTCCGTCTCAAGCGTTTTTTAAAACGCATTTTATAAGGAATTACGACAGATGACGCAAAAAGAACGCAGCCACTGGCAGGCCTTTTATTGCCAATGATTAATATATTCTCAGGTATCACTGACGTGCATGGGGTCCAGAAATCTTATTTATTTCAGTACCAGTGTTCTGTGAAACCGGTGTCGACGGCACAGCCCCTGGCATCAGTCTAGAGCACAGTGTCAATGATCAAACATCAGATAAGTGTTAGGCGATTTCCAAACGGCGGCAGTTCATGACACAGCTAGCTGAACACCGCTGAACACACTCGATCAACTCAGGATAGCACAACTAACAAGCACTTATCGACTGATGGTGCCGCACATTACCGTGCCAGTCTGTCCGCAACGTGTGGCGCATTTCACCACCGCCAGCCAGGCTGTTGACACCTGACCGACGCGGGTGGAGCGGCCCCATCAACCTCTGGCTCGTGGCGGTGAGCGGGCGGCAGCGGGCCGTGCCGCCCTCTCACATGTGGCCAACACTGACAGCTCAACCCCACCGGCCGTGACACCGCGCCGGGTCGAGGCCGTAACCGGCGACCGGCGGCCGGCGGCCGCTCCCGCACCGGTCGGCGCCTTTGTCGCCGCCGCGCCGATCAAAGGCCACTGCTGACCCCAGGCCACGGACGGCACGGCGGCGCCGGCGGCGGCGTGACGCAGCAGGTTGCTTACACACCCCAGCCGGGTCACTATCGCTTTCCACGCGTTTTCTACACCGGCTCAAAGCGCCGGCCGCCGCGGAGAAACATCGCTTTGGGAGACAAAGGGTCGGGTCGGGCGGGCGCCCCCCGGCGCCGGCGGCCCGCCCACGAGGTCAGCCAATCAGCGACGCGCAGCGGGCGGCTCGGCCGGCGTCATCGCCGCCGCCGCCGATGACAGCGCGCGATGACGCCACCGGCGCCGGCGCGGCGTCGGCGGGCGTCGTGCATCATTGTGGAGCACGAGCGGCCGGGAGAAACGGCCGTCCGCGCGCCGTTCGGTCCGCGTCAACAAGATGCCGGCGCCGGCGCCGTGTCACAACGACGCTAACGAGTCACACGGAGCGAGCGGCGCCGATGACCGGCCGGGCGCCGCCGTTCGACAGGTGTCAACGAAGCGCCGGCGGTGCTTTGAACTGCCACGCACTTTCACCGTGCACTTTCGTGCCGCGGTAGGGTCCCGGGTCTGACGCAAAAAAAAATCTGGTGAAGGCTGCGCGGTAATTACGCGAGGTGGCACAAAGGCTCGCTCGCCCGTCTGTGGCGAACAGGAGACAGTAGGGCGGCATGACTGATGCTCCAGCTGGTGACGGAGACCTGCCATCACGTGCTGAGGCTGAGCAGGCACGCTAACTGACCCCGGTTATAAGTCCCGTCGGCACACCGCTCTCGTTGTCAGCTCCGGTTCCGTTAGTGACTGGCGGGCGCGTCCCGGCAGAGGCCCCAACCGGACGGTCGGAGGCGTCGGCCGCCCGCACCGTGACCCGACGCCGTCCTCCGCGGCCCGTCGCTGCCCACGGCCGCCGGGCGAGCGGTCTCCGCGCGCCGCGCTCACGTGTCCCCGCTCCGCTAATGCCGCTGCCGCAGCGAGGTGAACCGCGGCACGGTGTCCTGAGAGAACGCCCGAGATTGCACACACTCCAGCGGCTCCTCCGCGGGCCGTGCCGCCGCACACGCTCTGCCCAACCGCAAAACGATTCGGTCGGTCGTCTCGCACTGTCCTCGGGTCAGTTTGAAATTAGCACCACACACGCGCCGTCTAACTGTTCACGACCCACCTCTGCGCAATTACAGAGAGCAGGTCATCGTGCAGCACGTGCCGTGTGCAATTAAAGCGTACGGTACAAAACATATGTGGGGATGTGCATGATGGCAGCATGAGATAAGCCCGGCCATGAATACCGTTCCCGTAACGCGGCAAAAGCCCGGGTCGGCGTGCCGCTTGAGGGAAGGTGCCGGCTGGACTGGTGCCCGCCGCGTCGGCGCCGCCGATTGACGGCAGTACGGGCGACACCGTCAAGAGGCGCTCACACGTCTGGCCGCTGTTTGCTGGCATTGCCAGGTGTCCATGACACCTTTTGCCGACGTCCGTCTTCCCCGGTCATAGGAAGTGGACCCAGGGGCGCAGGTCGGTGTGAGGCATGACGCTGGCTTTTGACTGTCTGTCAGGAACCATCAATGGTGAAGCAATGAAAAAGTGTGAGTCCAAGACTCGCTGGCTGCGCCTCTGGGTGAACCGAGTCACTCGCTGTAACGTCACGACCGTCTGTTTGCGCCGCCAACCGAGCCTCCGCCAGTTCGTGGCCCGTTCCTGTTGACCTGCCCCGGCAGTGGCGGGTGTTCAAGCGGGGCCCGGCCGGCTGCACCCTGCCCCGCCTCTGTTGACCTGTCCCAGCAGTGTTGGCATCCATGTCCAGCCTGGCCTCTGCACACTGCCGCGCCTCTGTTTGCCCGGACCCGGCGCACGCCACCTGCGCCGCTGACGGGGCCAGCCAACCCGAACAGTGCGTCATCCCTCTTCACCGACTTCCTCCTCTGACTCACCCGCCACGACGTGACCACATTGCGAGCCACGCCACCGGCCGGCTATATACGGCAGAGGGGCCTCCGGTCGGCCGCCGCAAGGCCACAGCCGCCAGCACGCGGCTGCTGACCGAGCCGCGCCGTCCCCCATCCTCCCCCGTCACGGCCGGCTGCGGCGGGCCGACCGCCGGCGGCGGCCGGCGGGTCACTCACCTTGCTTGCGAGAGCAGTTGACGGCGACGCCGAGCACCAGCTGCAGCAGGCGGCCCGCCTCCTCCGAGCTGCTCGTCTCACCTGGCGGCGGAGGGGCGCGGTCACGGTCACGGCACGGTCACGGCACGGTCACGGTACGGTCACGGCATGGTCTCGGCACGGGACCCGCGCGGTCACAGCCGCCGGTGTTGTCACCGGCGGGTAGGCTGCAAGGCGCCGTCCCCCTCAGAGAAGCACTCACTGCCAACTCCCGGAGGTGACGGCAGCTTCGTTGATGCCTGCAAGACGTCTCACACATTGATCCGCTGCGAGCAGTACTGGTGTCGTGTCCAGCTTCAGATCCGAGACGGATGGGCGGCGACGTCTCAGCGTGGTTACACTACCACGACGGTGTACACCGAAACATCGAAACAAGTACACCGAAACACCGATACTCAGCGGCGATTGACCTTCGCCACGTCTCCACTAAACAAACTGTTTCTATTGGTTGTGGGCCGCTGTCAGTCAACTGAATGGATCGTCGATTGGCACACATTGCACCAGGGCGGTCGGGGGGCCAGGGCCGGCGGGCGACCGTGAGCGCCGCAGCGGCCCGCCTCGCCGGCGCACCCCTGGCCGTTCGGCGCCTGGTACACGGGCCGGCCGGGTGGGTGGGTGGGTGGGTGGAGAGACCGGCGTCCATCACCATCCATCGCCAGCCGAGGGGCCGACCCGTCTGGATGCAAGCCAACCGTATCACGCTCTGTATGCATGGCTCTGGCCGCGTCAACAGCGCGGCGGCGGCGGCGGCGGCGGCGCCCCCGGCCGCCCCCGCACGGAGGCACGGCGGCCGCGCGGCCATGCATCAGCGCGGCACCCGGCCGCGCAGGGCGGCGGCACAGGGCGGCGCCAGCGGCACGGAGCCGCACTCGCCGGGAAACTGGGGGAACACCGACACGGCAGCGCCGCGCCGCTGACGAGCAGCTTTCAAAAGACGGATGGGGTTCCCACGGTGTCGCCGGAGACAGAGGTGCGCTCCGCCGCCTTCTGAGAGGCGGCGCGTCCGGCACCCGGCTCCAGCGGCTGCCTCGAGAGGGGTTTCACATTAGTGCTACAACACAACACCTCCCGACAGGAGTGCCCTGACATTACTTCTACTGCCGATATTTGTACGCGACATTAGTCCTAGACGAGAAAACTTACACTTCAAAAACTTATACCCGTCATTACGTCCAAAAACTTACACTGCCGCTGCTTATACACGACATTACTTATACTGCAGACTTTTACGCCGAACTCGTGGTCAAGTTTTTACTGTAGACGAAGTAACTGCTTAGGTTTTTGCAATATAAGTTTTGCCGTGTAGTCCGTTTGTCGGGTCGTGCCGTGTATGAGTATTTGCGGTGGATATCCTATCGAGTGTAAGTGAAAACTGCATTAGTCTGCTGTACAAGTAATGACGAGCATAAGTTTTTGCAGCATGCGTTTTGTCTGTAGCATTCATGTGCTATATGAGTTTTTGCAGTCGAAGCAATGACGCGTATTTGTAAGGACTGTGTAAGGTTTTGCAGCAGATGTAATGACGTGTTGAACGATTTGAAGCATAATTTGGTAGCGTAGCTCCCATGCCGTGCGTAAGTCTTCTCGGTAGAAACAATATCGCGTATACGTAAAGTCTGCATAAGTTTTTGAAGCAGAGGTAAAGTCGCGTATAACTGATGTCGTAGCACTCCCTTCGGCAGGAGTTCCTGCCGTAGCACTAATGTCATGACAACCTCAAGAGGGGCAGAGACCAGGCGGGTATGAAACCCAGCGCCGGGAGCGACAGCCGCGGCCGTTCAAACGGCCTGGATCCCAAGGCACAGGACAGCTGTTTAAGGCGCGTAAAATGTGGCTCTAGCAGAAGCCAACGGTAAACCCTTTCGAGAATATGGAACTGGTAGAGCCCGCCTGCGGACGCATTTTGAGAGCTGAAATCAACAGTATTGCAGTTGTCTGTACTTTACCAGGACCTGCGCTGCAATCGATTAAATCAAATTGATGCAACGAATTGATTAAACTGCATTCACAGTCCGCACATGAATTGCTGCGTAAATTATCTATTCAAACCAGAGAAACGGCCATACCATCCATCCTAAATATTGAAATCACACGGCCATTTCTATGTGAGAACTCAACGTTTCCCGTCCGTGTAAAAGGTGAACAACCGACAGAACGCTCCCAAACAAACAACGCCGAGCCGGCAATGAACTGTGACGGCCGCGGCGGCCCGTCCATCATCGCAAACGGCCGGCCCACGCTGTCATCCGGTCCGGCCCGGTCCGGTCAGCGGCGCCGGCCGGCGGGGCGCCCCGCGCGCTCCCACGCGCCCGCGACGCGCATGTGGCGTCGCGCCCGCCCAGCCAGACAGCAACTGGCGCACGCGCGCACGTGCCGTCGCGCGAAAGAAAGTCGGGCGGCGTGGCGGCGTCGCGACGTGAGGGCACGGCGCGGCGAGCGGCCCGCGTCACCGGCTGCTCGCGAGCCGAAGACGGCGGCACGATGGCGTCCGCGCGCAGTTCGCGGTCCGCCACAAGGGAGATGGCGCGGCAAAACGGAGCGGCGTGACCTGTTTCAGACGGGGAACCGCACGCGCCTGCTTACAGCAATCAGCCGAAATCGCTGTGAAAACCGGACGAAAAACAGGGCTGCAAGGGCCCCGGGCGGCCGGCCCCAGTTAGAGCGCCGCCGACTGGGCGGCGAACGGGGCCATTCCCACGTGCGAGCCGGAGCATTGACGACGCGTGCAGGGTGCCAGAGAGAAAGTCGACGACAATCGGCACAGGACAGGCGTGGTAAAGCGGCGCCGACGGCAGGTGGCGCGGCGGCGGCGGGCCGGCAGCGGCGGGCCTGCAGCGGCGGGCCGGCAGCGGTCGGGCCGGCCACCGCCCGAGCTTTGGGGCCAAGGTGAGGCGCCGTGTCCGGACCCCGACGGAACGGAGGCTGAGTGCTTTGCAGGGTCACTTGCCGCCGACGAACGGCCGACGTAAGGCCACAGTACCCACGACACAAGCGATTGGTGGGCGGGACACGTGTTCCGCACGCTCGAGGCCTATTCAGCCGAGCACGGGGCCTTCGATGTGGAGTGGAGTCCAACCGCTGCCGCCGTGTCGTGAATCGCGAGAGGCCGCGCGGCTGGCGCAGCTCCAGCCCGAGCACCCGATCTGAAGTGGCCTCTCGTCACGACTCCCCGCATTGTGACCTGGCGAGTTCCGGTCGGCTGTTTCGGCTCGGGTCACCCAGTCATGGGCGCGAGGTGTGTCAGCCGGCCGCCGGTCCATGAACAATGCCTTGCAGCGTCATGACACGGCACCCGTTCCTCGTACCGCGCCGAACACCCGTCGCGGCGGGTCAAGGAGCTCACAGTCAACAGGCCACCCCGGACCCGCGGCGCGGGGTCAGGCCGGACGCTGGGAACGGCGCGGCCTTGGCGGCGCCGACCGTCCGGTCAAGCGGCCGCACGCCCCGTGGGTCAGAGGTCACGGGTCAGGCGGCTCTTCCGGCGCCGACCGCCGCCGCGGTGGGGCGCGGACCCGACCTCTCGCCACGCCCGCCGTGGCCGGTGTCGGGGAGACGCGTGACCGGTGACGACGAACGGTGGGATCGCGTGGTGAGCAATGGCCGGCCGACGGCCTAACCAGCACCGCGCAGGCTTAACCAGCCTAACCAGCGCCGCGCGGCCGGCACAGCCACTCAGACGGAGCGTGCCCACAGCTCAGCCACGCCAGCAGACGGTCTCGTAGGGCTGACGTAAAACAACGCTCTTCGCAATCTGCGCAGTATGAACGAAAGAGTCACAAAGTGATAAGCGGCACCGACGTTCTTCATTCATCAATGACTTGAGCGAACTCATTTATTCGCCGAAATGTATTGGTTTCCGGCTGAAAAGCCCACGAGGCACGATATAAAACTGTCGTAAGCTAGAGTTCCCTCGATAAACTAACCACAGCAGTCGTTTAAATAAGCATTACAGCCCACTTGTCAATGGCGCGGAAAGAGCGGCGGCTGCGTACTTGATAAGCCCTGAGGGAGGCGGATGACTCGACCCCGTGATGTACCCGCTGAGGTGCCCCCTCCGTGTGAACCGGCAGGCCGCCGATCACGTGACAGGGCCAGTACAGCCGGCAGCCGAAGCCGGGGGCGCACCGGCGGCGGCGGCCGGCTGGGAACACAGAATGTGTCTCACCGTGTCACCCACAGTACGGCACACATCCGCCGCCGCCGCCGCCGCCGCCGCCGCCGCCGCTACCGCCGCCGGCGGCGCGGCGGACGGCGGGGCGCTGCCGGCGGTGCGCCGGACGGCCATGTCGTCCGGTCGCGCACTGGGCTGACGTCACTGAGCGCCTTTCTGACGCGACGTCAGAGTACACGGCCAGGCGGCGACACCGGACACATTCGTCTTGTTCGTTCGAAATGCGTCACCGCTGAGTGCCGTCAGCGTCAGTTGACGTTGTCACGTCAACATCTCATCACATGTCACGGCGCGTCGTCGAGCAGCGGCGGTCGGCCGGCGCCGAGGCCTCCTGTCGGAGGAGCACGCCCGCGGGACGCGCTGGCCCTGCAAGCGGGTGCGCCGGGAGTCCGGCGTGGCCGGTCCTGGTGTCGGGTTCGCGGCTCGTGCCATGTCAGGCGGCGGGCGTCACGGGTCGGGCTGACGCCGGCCGCCCCTGCAGCAGCACGGGCGAGAGTCGCCTCCTGCACACGCTCGTCAGCCCACTGCAGGGCCCGTCTCGGGTAGCATGGAAAGCCCCGTCTGCACGGTGGAAAGCCCCGCCTCGACCACCGCCGGGGAGAAAGACGCGATGACAGAGCCGAGGGACGGAGGTGCACCGCCTCGAGCGAGGGACGGAGCGGGGTGCGGGGACGAGGCGGCCGCTCCGGCCCCGGTGCGGCCCGTGGCACGCCTGCGGCACCGGCTAATCTCCCAGCCGCCGGCCGCTACACGCCAGCCGACCGCCCGCTGATCAACGTCACGCGCGCTTGAAAACGGCCGACACATCGCGTCGCTCGCGGCCGGGCGCGGTGACAGCCCCGGCGCGGTGACAGTCCCGGCGCGGT